TTTTGGCTGATGTAGAGGTACAATTTTGTTTCTGGTTTGTGTGAAGAAAATTTGTTTCCAAGATGAGGACACTGATTAAACAATTATTCAGTCTGTGGGTGTTCCTATCCTGCTTTATTTTATTTTAACTTTTTTTTTTTTTGTGATATTGACCGTTAAGATATTTTTGAGTCCACTTTTCGAATATCATTTTTAATTTCTCCTCAAATAATTTTTAGAATGTAAATTTTTTTTATTAATTTAACATATTTAAAGAATTATTTTTTAAATACTAATTTCAAAATTAAAAATTTAAACTTAACATAAACTATCATATTTGTTTATAAGTGAATTCTATCTTACATTAATTTTTCTTTATAAATTACAGGGCCATGACTTTCAACTGGACAATCAAGGGCCAGGGCCTAGTCTCTGAACCCAGCCCGTGTTTCGGGAGCAGCCCGGTAGGGGCCTTCTTTTTTTTGCTTTTCATTTTTAAGTAGTAGGGGCCTGCCTAATTTCCTATCGATGTTCTAGATGCCGTTATGAATGATTTTTTTATTTTTTTAGAATGTTGGAATAATTTGGGACGAGCCTCTTTAGGTTAATTTTTATACTAAAGATCTTAAGTGCATGCTCTTTGTATTACTTAATATATTTAAATAAATTAATTTTGTTTAAATATTAATCTTAAAATTTAAAATTATTTTATAAAACAAATATTTATTTAGTAATGAATGTAATAATTAGAGTTGAGATGATTTATGGATTGATAAACAACTAAAATGTAGCAACCACTGGCACCATGTAACCTAGGCAACATTTAAAAATTCCACATGTGGAACTATAGTGGTATCATGTCAGTCCAACTCAGATTTGTCCGATGAAATTTGGGACTAGGATTGGTTAATTGCCTTGGGGTAGAAGACACCAATTTGGGATTGACAACATTTCTAGGTGGGTATTTGCTATTGGTTATGATTATCATTAGATTTGTTAGGGTATATAAATTGTTAAAATTTTATTTTTATTTTGTTATTGAAAGGAAAATTTTCATTAAATGTTAATAGAGGTATAGTGGGAAATATGAAGAATATAAATAGTAAAATAATTAATATTTATTATTTAAAAAATTATAATTAATTTATAAATAAATATTTATAAATATCATAATTAATTATTTAAAAAATTATAATTTTATTTATTACTGTTAGAACATATATCCTTATAAATATAAAGCCACGTGTGGCAGGCAATACCCACAATTGTTACCATTACTGGAGGACTAATCAAGTCAAAATTATCTTTTTCTTTTTAATTTTGTTTTAATTTTTATATATTTATGTTATGTAGAAATATTTCAATTATATTGTCAGAAAACGAAAGAGAAAGAAAAAGTCAGTGACCTAAATGATCGATGGGTAATTTTACCCTAGTAAAAATAAAAT